ATGGACCATGAGAAAGGAACTCCATTCATGGAATAGTCACCATGGACCATGAGAAAGGAACTCCATTCATGGAATAGTCACCATGGACCTGGGCCCATTACCTAAGTCCTCTAATTCCAGTGTAGATGCTCAATAATTGTGAGTCGGTTGAGTGAATGCATGATGACAACACAAAAACATATGAAAGAGGAAAGTAGAAATTTCATTTTGCAAATGAGAAACTGAGGGGCAGTTCACACAGTTAATAAGGCAGTAGAAGTGGGACTTGAACCCAGGTCTATCCTACTCCAAAGTCTATGCAAACACATTTGGGTGTAGTGGGGAGAGAAGTAGAGATCCTTTCTTGCTCTTGCCTTTGAGCATGTGTGGACAGGGTGGAGAGACCTTGCCACTGGGAGACACACAGGCACCAGCACTTTCGGAGAGACCCAGACCCCTGCCTGCAGACCCCTGCCCCTCTATGGTCACTGACCTCCACCTCCACTTTCTTCATCTCTTTGAGCTTCTTGAGCAGCCCCCGGAAATCAGTGAAACCATACTCCATGCAGACCTTCTCAAAGTCCTTCTTGGGTACCTTGGACAAAATCTCCAGCATCTCTTTCTCACCTATCCCCTTCTTCTGCTGCTTCTTGGGAGCAGGGAGTCCCCTGGGAGGGGGTGGGTACCAAGCAAGGGCTCAGCACCTCCCTCTGAAGACAGAGGGAGGCTCTCCTAACCTTGAGATTCCCTTCCCTAATTCATGGGTTCTTGGAGCCTGGGCCATTAACTCAGGGCCCCAAAGGCCTTTGAGAAGTTCTGGCCTGGAGGGTGGAGGGACAGTACCCTGGGGAGAGGAGCCTCCCAGCCTCACCTCTTCTTCAACATCTTTTTGAAATCCATTTTTTCATGACCTGAAGACAGAAAAGGGGACAGGGTCAGACAGAGGAGTCTGATCCCTACAAAACAAAGAAAGACCAGGAAGAGGGAGCTGGCTCACCTTCTGTCACCAGCAAGGACACAGTGTAGATGGCATCTGCATGGTCATTGCTTGCAATGCACTTGTAGTTGTCAGAGTCACCGGAGGTCAGTGGCTCCAGCTGGATCAGAGTCAAGCCATTAGTGGGGGAGTGAGGAGGACCCCAGGGAGACTTTCTGTGAGGAGGGCAAGGAGGGCGTTTTGGGGGGGAGGGGGAGTGGGGCTGAGTGTGGGTATATGTGTGGAGGACTGAGCAGCCTCTATCATGTGGAGGTTCCAGGGAGCCATCAGTGTGAGTGTGTGTGTTTGTAGCCTGATTCTTCACAGGATTCTCCCTCTTGGGTGTGAGCTAGACGACAGGGATTTCCTCTGAGTTGTAACTGTGTGCAGTTTCTGCCACTAGACTGAGTGTTCCTTCCTTTAACACATATTTACTCCTTTGTACAGGTGCTGGACTGAGCCTGAGGAAACCGGTGAATTAGGCTGAGGAAACCGGTGAATGTTGGTATCTGCAACATGGCACTCACAGCCCAGTGGGGTCTCGGAATGAATGAATTTGTGTACGCGGTGGCCAGTAGGGGGACCTTGGGGCAGCCTGTGTGTACTAAGTGGGGCTAAGGGTCCAGTAATGGGGCCACTGGGAGAAGGAACATTCTGTATGGTGGGGAGAGGAGAGGCTTTTTGCCCTTCACAATGGTATGTCCTCGCAGGACCAATTGGGACATGTTTCCCCATGACCCATCTCTCCTTTTCCTCATGGGTCTGGAACCAGAAGTTGCAGAAGCTGGTTAGATCTAAGGATGATCAGCTCTTGGCCAGAGTCTTCTAGAAGTGTCCCCTGAAGAGCCCAGGAACCCTGAACTTCACCCCATCGCTAGGATCAGTTCCTCCCTTGGTGCCTGGCCGCCCCTATTTAACCTGGCTCCACCCACTACGGCTACGCCCCCTTCTAGCTACGCCCATAGCCGTGGCTTCCCTTCCCTTTTGGCTCTCTCACCTTCTGGAAGAGATGGGTCTCCTGCCCCTCCTTGGCTTTGCCCTAGCTCTGCTTTGCCTCACCCCTAATTTTGGTCTCCTGCCCACTCTAGCAACACCCCAGCTCCTGATTCGGCCTCTCTTATCCTGCCCCTCCTCTAGGGCAACGACAGCTTCTTTCCCCATGGCCCTTCTTGGTTCGTTCAGTTGTGGCTCTCTTGTCCGTGATGGGGCCGGCGGCATGCCCTGGGGTCCCTGCCTCTGGCCTCGTCCGTAACTGGCTCTCTGGCTCGGGTCCCCGCACCTTCAGCACGTGCTCCTTGTTGATGCTGTCGTAGAACATCTTGGCCGACTCCTTGATGGGGATGCCGCTCTCCCTCTTCCAGGAGACGTTGGGTTTGGGGTTCCCCTGCACCCGGGCTCGGAACACAGCTTTATCCCCTGCAGTGGGCACGGGACACAAGTACACCTCTTAGCCTCCAGGTCGGACCTTCGGACCCTGCCTCCTCCCAGGGGTCTCATGTCCACCCCGGCAGGGGAGCGCCCCTGGGCCTGGGGCCACCAGTGTTTGCATTACTGGGGGACAGTGGGGTCGTGGTGCTGATTGGGGCACCGGGAGAAGAACAGAAAGCAGCCAGGGGCTTGGGGACACACGGGGAGCGACACACCCTCGGGCGCGGTGACCGGGTGAGGCTTCTCCACGAACTCGGGGACGCTCTCGCCTGCAGGGATGTCAGTACTCCGAGTCACCAAGCTGAAGAACTCTACAGTGCTCGAGGACTTCCTGGTCACGACTTCCTCTGTGGCGACAGGCGAGAGGTCAGAATGGGCCCAAGACTGGAGGATTGACCTTTTCTTGAGGGGACGGCGGAGCATTTTAGGGCCGTGCGGGGACTTTGGCCAGAAAAGGAGGACCTTTAGTCAGTCGGTCGTTGTGTTATGGCACGTTTCAGCCACCAGGGGGAGCGAACTCCTCTTCCAGGCCTCTGGTCAATCACGTTTATCGGGCCACGTTACCGGGTCCCAATTCTTTTCTTTTCTTTTTTTCCAACCTTTTTCTTTTTTTAAAAAGGAGATTTATTTTGATGGGGGTTTCTTGGCCTCTTGGGCTTCTCTCCTGGAAATCCTAGTCCCCCAGCAGCCTTAAGAGGGGCCCGGTGGCTTAGTTGAATTCTGCTGTCTGCCTTCCCTTAGCCCTTCTGTGGTTTAGCATTCATTGCTATGGGAGGAGCAGTGATTCTTGAGCGAGGGACAGGAAACATTCCCAGCCTAGAGGGGCTATGGGTGGGAATCTCCTTATCTGAGAGAGCATATTCAATGCAGTCATGTAATTTTATGTTTGGAAAATGAAAAGTTTTTTCAGTATAAACTACAGACCGTCTTGTTGGCTAGTGAGCTGACAGTTAAAAACAATGTCTCTGATTCACAGAGCGCGTTCCTTTTGTCAGGAACCGTGCTAAACACAGTTCAGAGGTTATGTTATTTAATCCTCACAATACTCCAGCGAAGTAGGTGCTTTTATTATCCCCACTAGCCTGAAAGACTGAGATGAGAAAAACGTGTTCCGACGCACTTTTAAGTAGCCATCAGAAGTGTCAAACAAGCAGTGTGCAGGCTGCCCATAACCTGCAGATGTTTAATCTCTACAATGGTCAAACAAAAAGTAGCCCTACATCTAAAAAATGAGAGATTTCACATAAAAATTCACATTTCTGGATTCTCAACATGGAGCTCATACCCCCCATATGGCAACGATCGGGGGCAGTGAATAGCGGCTGCCCCTTGAGGTGGGGGATGTCCTCTGCAGTTCACTTCGGTCTTTTTTTCTGCATTTATATTCCGTGCCTGGACCCTGCTGGCCAGTGGTTTTAAACTCTGGCTACATGCTAGAATCTCTGGAGAGCTTGAAACACACACACACACACACACACACACACACACACACACATACCCATACACCTGATTTAGCAGCTGGGTGAGACTTATGTATCGCTATTTTTTTTTTCATTCCCCTTCCTTGCTCCCTGCTACACTAAAGCCAATCGAATATGCAGCCGGGGTTGAGAATCACTGCTATCATCACGTAAGTTTGCAACTTCTGGTCTTGAGCCCCAGCTGTTCCACTTGCCTGGCCTCACTGACCAGGAGGGGTTGGGATAGAGTGTTCATCTGGCCCTGACCTCTGTGCACGAGGACTTTGAGGGACTCTGTCCCTCCAGGACTTTGAGGGAGGGGGCAGTGACTGGGAGGGGATATTGGATACTTTGGCCTCTGGCCATCTGTTAATCTCTTTTCACTAGAGACATGACTGAAACAATCTGTTCTGCTCTGAGACCATTTCTCAGCTTTCCCTTGGATCTGTTTTCCCCCAAGTCCGGTCCCCAAGGGTTGAGAGCCTGGAAGCTTAGGTCACTTGTTTATGTCTTCATCCTCTCCACTGGCAGCTCCAAATCTCCTATTTCTGAAGTGGAGCAGGGTCAGCATTACTCACATCTAGATTAAGGTAGCTACTTCCCTAGCTTCCTCCATGTCTGAAATTCTGCCATCAGAGATACATCCATTTGCTTCGGGCTCTGATCTCCTCAAGCAATTAAGTTCATCAATCACTCACACACATGCATGTGACTGACTTTCCTAAGCTGTTTTCCTGGAGATCGGATCTATGGGTAAGCATCCCACTGGCTGAAGCTTTATCAAAGTACAGATTAGAAGCACAGGTTACGAGAGGGTTGTCCTTTGTATATTGGGCTCCTGAGGGGCCCAGAACTCATAACGGCTGAGCGCCCACCCCTGCCCCTCGCCCCGTCGCCGCCCAGAGGCTGGATCTGGAGAAAGAAAGGCTGCCCTTTCCCGATTTCCCCTCCCATCCACTCTACTTGCCTCCCACGATCCTGGTTGTCTGGGAGAAGGTCTGCACGTGGGTGGTGGAGCTGGAGAACTCCATGGACACGTGCTCCTGCAGCATCTGCTCGTGGTGAATGGTCGTCATGGTGACAGCAGGCGTGGGCACTCACCTGGGAGGACCAGGGAGAGGATGAGGCCATGAAGGAAGGGCCTAGGAGGGAGATCCAGAGTTGCTCTTCTGTGTGTGTGTGTGTGTGTGTGTGTGGTGGGGGGAAGACACGGAGCAGGTGAACACAAGGGGAGACGACTGTGCACAGGAGAGAATGAGAAGTAGGGCAGCAAGCTTCTCTCCGGCCTGTCTTTTCTTCCCATTGTATCTCACCTTCCCAGGCTGGTTACAAGGGCCAGTGGGCCTGTCACCCACCAAGTAATCGCAAACCATTCCAAGTTCTCAGGGGGAGAGAATGGTAGGGCTGAGATTTACCCAGGGGGAGCTGGGGATTCGTATTCATAGCTACATGGAACTAGGGAGGCAGTGTTAGCTGTCTCATCAGGAGGCAATGAAGTCAGACCTAAGAAGGAACTTCCTGACTAAGCCATACTGCAGTGGGCCTTGGAAGGAAGCTGGGCATTTTCCTCCTGTGCCCTGGGGACCCCTGGCATCATTGGAATGCTAAGACGGATAGATGAGAGTGTGTGTCTGCAGCCCTGCTTTCACTTGTGACTCGGTAAAGACAGAGGCTGAGGTTTTCTTTCATTTTTTTTTTTTCTTTAAAAAAAATCAGTAATTCGATCTCATCGTTACTAAGTGAAACAGCATCCACATCCATGTGAAGAGGCCCCCTCCTGAGCCCCCATCTCCCGGCCCTCCCCCAACACGAACCACCCAACCACCCCTGGTCGCTTAGCTCCTTCTGGAGCTCCTTCATGCAGAGCCACGTATGGTTTTGTCCTCGTCCCCTCTTTACACCTCAGGTACACACTATTCACTATTCCGCCCTTTCTCTTTCACGGAATCCACCTTGGAGATCTCTCCGTATCGGTTCGTGAGGGCTCTCCTCGTTCTAACAACCACACAGCATTTCCAAGAATGGATGTTCCTACCATTTTTGTTTAACCAGCACGGCAGTTTTCCCACACTTGTGGGACACTTTGTGTGTGAGGAAACTGATGTCTGCGAGAAATAACCTGTCCAAGGTCACTCAGCCTGGAATCCCGGCCTCCTGATTCCCAGTCCACTGCCCTTCTGAAAAGGGCCTTGTTCTGGGCAGGAAGGTGGAGGCTCAACTTTATCTCCCCCACCCCCCCCGTATCTCTGCCTGGCCTATTTCCACCTCTGAGTTCTGAGACTGTCACCAGCTAGACCCCAAGAGCTGACCTTTACTGCTCACCTGCTTGGTTCCACTGACCTTCGTCCCACATTCTTCCTTAAACTCTTCTTTCTTTATTTTTAATACGAAATTTATTGTCAAATTGGTTTCCATACAACACCCAGTGTTCATCCCAACCGGTGCCCTCCTCAATGCTCATCACCCACCCACCCTCCCCTCCCTCCCACCCCCCATCAACCCTGAGTTTATTCTGTTTTTAAGTGTCTCTTATGGTTTGCCTCCCTCCCTCTCTCTTTTTTTTTCTCCCCCTCCCCCATGGTCTTCTGTTAAGTTTCTCAGGATCCACATAAGGGTGAAAACATATGGTATCTTTCTCTGTATGACTTATTTCCAGCTTATCTCTTAACTCAGGCAAAAGACCTGCGGGGAAAAATATCCTGTGATGGAAACTGAAACAACCCCAAGCAGTAACAACTGCCTGGACAGGAGCTCTGGTGGCCCAGACCACCCAGACCAGTTTAAGCTTAACACCTACCCTGACTCACACCTGTGCAGACGGACCCTGGCGTGGCCTACAGTTACCTTTACCTCCTCATGATACTAAAATCTCCACCCAACGAGCCTCAGCCTCATTTACATTACAATGTATCTATGGGCATGTTTCCTTAAGGAACAGGCGTTGACCTTCTGCTCGCCTGTACATGCGACGACATGGCTCCCCATCTAAATGTTCATCCTAAATAAAAGAAACCTACTCACCCTCGTTCAGGGAGTCACGACTTTGGAAGATTTTCCCCACGATCTCATTTGCTGCAAATAAAGTTTCCTTCGTGCGATTACCCACCTGTAGTTTCTACCTGGGACCCCCCCCCCCCCCCACACACACACACACACAAGGAGCGAACTCACACGAGTTAGCTTACTCTGACTGTCCTGCTCTGGGCTCCGAAGGTAGCAGGTTCTGCACCCTTCTTGAAGAAAGAGGGGAGCCTTACCTTTGCGTGACCTGTCTCTCCTAACCCTTGAATGCTGTGTCCAGGGCTTTGGGGGTGCAGCTATGCCTGGGCTGTAGGCGGGCAAGTCTCCTTCTTTTGTCCCAACAGTGGAGTCACCGGTCCCTTAAATGTCTGGCCCCTTGGGGGCGATCCCTTACTGAGCCTCCACAGCTGCCCCAGCTAGATTGGCACGCTGCTCTGGTGGGGGAGCGGAGGGGGGAAGTAAGGCTGGAGCCAAGGCTGGAGGAAATGCTGGGGACCAGGCGTGTGGGCAGGAGACTGAGGGTGGTGGTCCAGGCTTACTTTTCCTGTTCTCTTTCGCCAGAGGTTTTGGTTCTCACTGCTGGTGGGCGGGACCTCGCTGAGCTGAGGGGCTCAGGGTAGCGTGTGTGTGTGCACACGCACATACATACACATATGTACATGTGTGCACAGTCCAGTGGGGCCGGAGTCAGGGAAGTCTGCCACTTCGCATACATCCAGGGGGCACCGTTCATGTTGGACTCTATGTGTGGTGCCTGCACGGCTTAAGTGGCCTCACAGGGCCACCCTGGAGGAGGAGACAGACATGTTAGCTCCCCTCCCCCTTCCCACTCCTATAGCTCAATCCTTCTCTAATCCAGGTAGAGGGTAAGAGGGCCTACCCTCCTGTTGGAGGATGGCTGGAGAGCATGCCCATCCCCCGCTCTGGGACCTGCATCCCAGCTGTTCAAAGCCCCTCCCCATTCTTTCCTTATTGTCTGCACGCTTGGGACAGTCTACCAACACACATGAGGTTCTGGTGCTTTGTAAGGACTCACTGGTCGGTCAGCAGCCCTGCCCTGGATCCTCCCATGCCCTGGAGTGACCCCCGCCTGCCAGCAGCAGCATCACAGCTACTTTTGCTGCATCCCTGAGGGCAGGGGTAAGAATAGAGCAGGAGTGTCCGGGTGGCTCAGGATCTGAGCCCTGGGGCAGAGTCCCTGGGCGCTCTGGGGGGGAGGCTACTGTCAGCCCAGGCCTTATAAGGGAAACATCCAGGTTGCAGCTGCTATTGGGACCTGTAGGGTTCATGGGATAAGTGGGCTGGCCTACAGGGAGGAGCCTGGGTGTGACCTGAAAGTCTCCCTGCCCGAGCCTTGGCCTCTCTGGCCCATCTGTCGGAGCTGGTGGCCTTCCAGACACTTTGCCTTCTCTGGAAGCCTCCCATACCTGGCCTTGAGGCTCCTCATAGTCCAGGCCTCCTGGATGGGTTGGAGGTGAGGGTGCAGGAGACCCTGCCAAAATCAAATGGATTTGGCCCATACTTCCAATCTCCACAGGGGGCACTAGGGAGCTGGAGGGTGTGCCTCTGCGTGTGTGTGCGTGTGTGCGTGTGTGTGTGTGTGTGTTGTGTGAGCGTGTGCATAGAGGGTGCACAGAGACCAGGCGCTAGGGACCTTGAGAGTGTGTGTGTGTGTGTGTGTGTGTGTGTGTGTGTGTGTGTAGAGGATGCACAAAGACCGGATTACAGGGAGGCAGGGAGGGGAGAGGCAATTATACGGACGCAGGAGGCTAGTTTTGCTCAAAATGCTCCGTTTATTGCTCTATTCAATGACCACGAGCAAATTATAAAAAGACACCAAATGTCTCTGTCTGCCGTGGAATAAATATTTAAAGTCAGCAATAAAAACACGTGGCTCCAAGATAACACATGTTGCCAAGAGTCATGCACGCCCGACTGACGGGCTCTCAACACACGCATGGACACAGGAACACACGCAGAGCTACACGCAGCGAGACTTCTGGGAAGGCTTTCCCACGGTGACACAGAAAAGTGTTCCACACGGATCTGGGGCCCAGACCCCACCCCACCCTCAGAGCTCCCCCTTCTCCCACCCCCCACCAGGGCTCAGGTCCTCTGGGTTCACAGCCCCCCTCCGTCCCCTGCTTCCTCAATGCCTCATAGGCTGGTCACTGCCTCCTGAAGGCATCTGACACCAACAGGTCATCCTGGCTGTGATACTCCCCCCACCCCAGCCCAGAGACCTCTCGCCCAACTGAGATCTCTCGGCCCATTCCTCAGGCGCTCCCCATCCTGAGCTCAGTAACTGGGGCAAAATGCAATCTGCCGGGTGGGAAGTGGGGGTGGGGGCCCAGGGCAGGCGCCTCTGCCTGGGCTACTGTGGGGCTGGAGCTCATCACCCCTTTCCCGGGGCCGAGGAGACACAGTGTCCGGTACAGACAGCAGAGATGGACGGACAGACAGACACGCTACAGCGGGACACTTGCGGCACAGAAACGTTTTGGATCAAGTAGCAATGGAACTATCATTAAAAACTGAGGCCCCAGGTCTGCATGGCATGGGTCAGGCCCCGGGGCCCCAGGCCTGGCCTGGCACATCCCTCTCCCACCCTGCCCCAGTCCCCAGTATGTACAGTAGGAAGAGCTATGTTGGGGAGCAGGGGCCAGGCCAAGGCTGCCGGAGGAGGGAGGAGGAAGGAACAGACTAGAGAGAAGGAAGCAGGAGGGGCAGGGACGGGGGGGCAGGCGGGGACCCGAGGCCGGGCCCCCCGGGTAACCGGGGGGAGGGCCCAGACTCAGGTTGGGCGGTGCCCAGAGGACCTCGGGGCAGGAGCGCAGTCACTCTGGGGACTGGCGTGACAGCTGCTTCTCGTAGAGGCTCATGACATGGTGTACAAACTGGTATTGCTCACATGTCTGGATCATGCCGCCCCTGCGGGCAGAGATGCACAGCGGAGACGGGGTGGTTGAGAGACGACGGGCTGCGGGAGGGCACCCCCAAACCCACGACTGCCCATCATTCGCGAGGGGCCTGGTCTTTCTGTAGCGCGGAGGGGTCAACCCTTGCCAGCCACGTCCCTCTGCTCCCTCCTGTCCCGCCGAGCTCTGGCGCACACAGCAGGGACGGAGAGGACGTGCCCCACCACCCCTCCCCCCTCCCCCCTCCCCAGCTGGGTTCCTTTCCCCTCCTCATCCGGCCAGCAGCTGTCTGGATCCAGCTCCTCTCCCCATCTGTGTCCTCCACTCCCCCATCCTCCAGCACGTCCATGTGCCGTGGGTCCTCCTGCCCCGCACCCCACGCGTGCCTCAGTCTCTCCCCATGCGCCCCCACCCCTGTGCACGGGCCGACCTGTCCTGACGGAGCTGGCACGTGGTCTTAAGGATGTCCACCACTCCCTCCTGCCGCAGCTGCTGGCAGCAGATGCTGGTGGCGATGAAGCAGCCCGTCCTCCCAATCCCTGCACTGAGGGCAGAGGGGACGCTGGGGTAAGGAACGGACCGGCGTGGGGAGCAGGGAGGCTGCCCTGCCCTGGTGGGTGGCTGGGAGGACCCACCTGCAGTGGACGACGATGGGGGCGCAGCGGGGCCCCTCCTGCCGGGCGGCCTCCTCCACCTCCCGCACCAGGTGCAGGAGTGGGGGGGCCCGGTCTGGGGTCTTCTGGTCGGGCCAGGACGTGAACCAGTAATGCTTCAGGCCTCGCTCTTCGGTCCCGCTCTGTCCAGGAGACAGAGACCCACCCCAGATACATGTGAACTCTTAGAGTCCCCAACGTAGCCCAAAGTTGGGAAGGGAGCAGCGAGAACACAGTGGGGAGACCCCGGCGTGGGACCCACGGCCTCTGCCGCCTACACCGTGCTGCTCGTACTGCTCAGTGGCATCAGAGACCCACAGCCAGCTTGGTAGTGGAAGCTGCTCAGTGACAACTGGTCTTCCCTGGTCCGTTCTGCCCCAACAACTCCAGGGTCCTCCAAGAGAGACAGAGGGTCCCTCTCCAATCCGATCCTGTCCTCTGCTCCCTTATCTTAAACAGCCGGGTCACCCCTCAGTCTCATGACCCGGAGCCTGGGGGCTCTCCTGCTCACGTCACTACGCTTCGCCTGCCACCCCCCCCCCAAGTCTTGTCAGTGTTCTTGCCTCTCCACCAGCTCCACCTCCGCTTCGCCCTTTATCATGTCTCCACCGTCTCTCCCTCCCCCCTGACTGCTCTATCCCCACAGTGGCCAAACGTGGTCGTGTGCAGCACAGATCTGGACACGCTGCTCTCCTGCTCAGAACTCTCCAACGGCCCTTGTTGCTCTCCGAATAAAACCCACTCTCCTTAGTCTTCAGTCTGGCAAATGAGACACACCGTATAGGACGTAGCCCTCCAGGCCCGTCTCCTACCCCTGAACACGGGTAGTACTCAATCTGGAGCGCTTCTGCACTCCAGATGGTTTGTACATAAAACCTCTGCTGTGCGCGCACGCATGCGCACGCGCACACACACACACACACACACACACACAGCTATTCCACCTTCCGTGCCTTCCTTTTTAACTTTTTTCTCTGCCTGGAATGTTTTCTCCCTTGTTTGCCCCTAGTCAACTCCTACTCATCCTGCCAACTCCATTTAGCACCACCACTTCCAGGAAGCCCTCCCTGAACACCCTGGCTAATGGAGTGGCCTTCTTCTATGTTCTTGCCAATCTCTAGCCTGGTACTTACCATTAGGGGTGCTCCTTTAGGAGAGAGTCCAGGCTTTGGACAGTCTGTGTTCCCAGTACCCACCCAGAACCAGGCGTAGGGAGGCTTCTTGTAGAGACTCATGGACTCATGGACAAAAGTAAATACTCCCCATGGCAGTGTGACAATGAGGCGGCCCTCATCTCACCTCAGCCTCTCTTTCTGGGGAAGCAGAAAGCTTCCTGGCACTTGGCTCACCTCTCCCAGCCTTTGGGGTTATTACATTGGGCTCTACCCAATCCAGAGGATTCCAGAGGAACAATCTCCTCTCTTATGCTGAGC